TAAAAATCATTGGCATATATCCATTGGATACCAAAAATCTCTTAACTGATAAAATTAGAATTCAAAATATAATTTGCAAGAATAATCTAAGTGATATCTTTTTTAGAAAAAAGTTTTTATTGATTTTTCAGAGAGATAGAAACATTGATTGTCTGCCTCCTGCACACCCCCTACTGGGGATCGAGCCCACAGCCGGGCATGTGCCCTGCCGGGAATTGAACCGGGACCTCTCAGTCCATGGGACAACGCTGCAACACTGAGCCACATGGGCCGGGCTAAGTGACACATCTTATTGTGCATGTTCTTTACGGCTTATTCTGCTTGATGTGGCACAACAGTCACTAACGCCACTGAACAATCCAATGCTGTAACATTTTCTAAAGTACTTCGAGAAAATGAATTGAGTCGATTTTTAGATATTCTGTTCCTGTATTTTTTACATGAGACTTTCAGGACATAAATAATTGCATTAATACCCTGGAGAGTTAGTTTTATTGTACATTAAAGACAAGCTGGTGGGTGGGAGGAATTAAGAGAAACGGACCCGAAAGGTAGTCAGAATGGGCCAGATCTCTGTACTTCCATACTGGTACCCCTCCGTGCACACCACCTCCAAGGCACTGTGTTGGGGGTACAGGTCTTTTTGAGACTCACTGGTATGGAACACTCGTGCTCAGAAGCAGAGCTGGGAAACTGAGGCAGAGTGGGCCTCTCAGCAACTATGAGACCCATACAAGGCTTCAGAACACCTTGCTCCCTGCCACTTTCCTCAGAGTGATGACAGCAAGGCTTCACCTGCTGTCCAGGCAGGAGGGGACACCCGAGCCACCACTGGAAGCCCAATGGAACCCCACAGGGAAAAAAAGAACACCCCCCTAGAAGCTCCCCACCACAGCAGCAAACACACGGGCCAGCGCCCGCCCCGGAGCACAGCTGAGGGTGTGCGGTGGCAGGGCGGGCGGGGGCAGAGGCCGTGACCTCAGCTGTCACTGCTGGCCTGCGGCCGGTCTCCTCCCGAGCGGGGCTGGGCTCCATGCTCGGCAACTCTGGGAATTCTGTATCTGCTACCAGATGACAACTGACCTGAGCGTGTGACATAGTAGAAAACCGCTTGGGAGGGTGAGCAAAGGATTTCTTCCCGTCACCTTCACTGGACCCCAGAGCCTCCGGCACTGCCTGCCCTCCAAGGGTCCACCACACGGGAGCAACCAGAGTCTTGAAATGAAGCCACTGTCCCTGGAGTGGGACCGTGATAGATACACCCAATTCACTATGCCCAAGTGGCCTTCTCCACGATGCCACGGAGGGTCAGCAGGCAGGGGAGGAGGGAATGACTACGGACAGGAGGTTTCCAGGGAAAAGCTGTGCGGAGATCCAGGTTTCCATAACAGGACCCGCTGAAGTGAGCATTTAGATGGTTCTCACTCAGGGCAACTAACTGTTCCAATCGAAACCACTCTTATTTTATAGCCAAGGTATATTTTTATCCTGGGACTTGCACCACTAAGCAACAACAGTGTGAGCAATTCCTCATGCTGACTCGGAACACTGCTGCACGCAGCCGCTCCAGCGCCTAGACCACAGCACTCCCGAGAAGGAGATTGTGGGACGCCTCAGCACATTCCCCAGATAGTTCTGTCATCGATTCGGGGCTCTGCACTCCCCACCCCAGCCCCCAGCCCCCAGCCCCCAGAGCGATGCTGGTACCTTTCTGCAGACACGCACAACTTCGCTGTCGATTTCTTCTATTGCATTTTCCTCTCTGTCTAATTCCTGGACTCTATGGTCTAAAGTGAAAGTATCTTGGCTAATCGAAATCTGCTTGGTGTCAGGCAGGAACAATACAATCCCCCCCACCCCCCCACCCCACCCCCGTGCCTTTCCTTTTTTTTTTTTTTCCGACAGCAAGGCCAAGAGAAGCAGAGGAACCACTTCATACTTGCATAGAGTTTTCTTTGATTTGTTAACCACCCACATATCCATGATCTCATCCAGCCTCATAACAACCCAATGAGGTAAACCTGCTCCCCCCACCCTCAAAGAAGGTGCACCTACCGCACAGGACTGCCATGGCGCTGGCACCCAGAGAGCGGGCACATAGCGCCGGCTACTTGGCATTAGACGCAGCCAAGACCACCTCGCTCCTCTGATCAGTGAGAAACTGGGGATCAGTGGGCAGGGGATCAGGCACCCAGGGCCCTAGGGCCCTAAGCAAACTGGGAAGGTGGAGGATTCCTCACACCACATGTCAACAGAGCCCTGATTGTTTAACACCTGACAACTACACGTTCCCATGCAGGCTCAGCCAACAGGACGGGAGCTGCGGTCCTGGTTCCGTCCCCAGTTCTCCGCTGGACACACACTCAGCTCGAGTTCTCTAGGCCTTGTGTCGCCTTCTCCACAATGAAGGCAGCCCCCCCCCCCTCCCCGTTTTTGTTTTTGCTTTTGCTTCAGACAGAACAATGGACTGTCAAGCTCCCCGATGAAAGGCTCCATTACAAGCACCGCGTATCGTTTAATTACACGGCTGTTCCAGTTATCTGCTTCCCGGCGCCCAGCTCCCACTGGGCAGACTCTGAAAACGCATGGGAGATTGTGTCGAGAGGGGAGAACAGGAGAAACATTCTCTCCCTGAACTTTCTTACAGGGAAGAGAGGAACAAAATGAAAAGAAAGGCCCATTTGCCAAGGAGGGGGCTGGGGCGATGATCTTTCCGTGAAGCGGACCTGCCTAAGAATCTATAGATTATTTTAATGCCGGGGGTGGCTGTGGCGTGAAATAAAGGAATCTTTGTGCGATGCCAGCCACGGCTCCCTCGTCCTTCCCCACAGGCAGGCATTTAACCCGACTCTTTAAATCATCAGGCTCTAATACGCCCCATCTGTGCACCAGTTGTGGCCAGTGAAACTGAAGCCTGTGCTGACTTTGGCCTGGATTCGTGAATGAGCCTTTCTGCCCCAAAAGGCGCAGGAAGGAGGACAGGGGGCCAACCAAGTCTCTTTTGCTCATCGCTTGTCTTCTCCCGAAGCCCAGGCCCTGGCCATCCATTTATTTGATCATTTATTGGGCTCTTGGCACGGGTCGGATTCTGACCCAGAGAAACAAAGCCGGCAGGAGGTGGCCCAGGTGGAGAGGGAGACGTACGAGCTCCTGGGAGGGGACGGTGAGGAAGCAGGGCTGCTCTCGGCCGAGGCACGGTGGCCTGCAATCCCCCCACCTGTATCTCCTCAGGGGATGCTGCTTGCTTCCAAGTGGCTGAGCACAAAGCGAGGAACTGGCGGGGGCCCTAACTCAAAAGGTCGGCTCTGCCAGAACACCCCAGGCCCTGTCCACCAGGCCGGAGGCCAGACACCACCTTGAAGGCCATTCCCATCTCCACGTACTCTCATCGCCCTCCCACAGGCCCACCTCTTCCAGAACCCCTCTTGGACACGCTCCGTCCTTGCTCTCTCCTCTGAGCCTCTAATTTGAGCTCTTGGACAACATTTATAAATCTCGACGTCTCCATCCATATAAAATATGACTATTATCACCTACTTTAAAGGCTTCTTGCAAAGGTTAAGTGAGACGACCAAGTGTCGAGAGCAGTTTTTAGTACACGGAAGGTGCTACCACACATTTCACCGGTCCCTCCGTTGCTCGGGAATCGGAGCTCTGCTTCCTGGTATTAGAAAAACGTCTTGGCTCCCACTTCCTCTGGAGGATTTTAGAAACAGGACAACTCACATGTTCCCTCCGAGCTTGCGGGCACTCTTCCAAAGCAAAGAGGACCGATTCCCGTCCCCCCTCACTGACACAGACTCCCCACCCAAACGTCCAGACTCTAGGGGTTCCCAACAGAGCCAAGGAATCTGAGACAAGATGAGTGAGGTGACAGAGAAGGAAGCTACAGACCGGCTGGAACAGAAGGGAAAGTGGGCCAGACGCCAGCGCTCTGAGGGCTCCGGGTTCAAGCCCTGTGGTACCCCGAGACCTGGGAGAGGCCTAGGAGGAGGGGTCCGCCCTCAGCCCTGATTTAAGGATCCCCATACCTCACGTGGTTGCTCAGGCAGCCTCCTCACTTCCTGCCCAGTCGGCCAGCTGGACGGCACTGCTCTAGACTGCTATCCTTCACCCCGCCCTGGCGGGGGCTCCCGGGCCACAGGCAGAAAAAGCGATGCCCCCTTTTCTTACAATTTTTTAAAAAACTTAGTCTGGGTCTGCATAAAGGTTTCTTTCTTTCTTTTTTTTTTTTTTACTTGAACGGCATGCAGTCCAGGTCCCGAGGAAGGAGGTTTGTAAGGGAAACGTCCCCATGATCCCTCTGCTTTCCATGCAGCCTCGTAAAACCTGTTCCCCCTGCCCCGGGAGCCGGCCGGGAGGGAAGAGCTCCCCACAGGAGAGCCGCACAGGACTGCACGGCGGAGACCGGGGTTCTTTCTTTATGAACAGCACCCCAGCTTCAGGAAGCCGTTGCTGAGGCTCCTCCAGAAAACGGGGCTCCATTTCGACGTCTGACTCGGACCCAAGGCCGTGCCCTGTCCCCTCACGTCAACGCCCTGGAGATGCCCACAGGCCAGTGAGCCAGCCCTTCCTCCATCACTCTGGTCCTCCCCAGCATCAACAGTCTCACGACCCCGGCCGGCAACATCCTGTCTCATCTCAGCTGAAACCCGCTTTCTTCACACTTGCTTCCCTGGCAGGCAGTGTTCCAGCGGGTTCGTGGGCCAGGCCGGGTTCGTGGGCCCGGCCCGAGGCTCCACTCCCGCCTCGGCCCCGCCCCTCGGGCCTGCCAGCTGGGGTGACATCTAACTTCCCAAGAACAAACGGAACCAGCACGTGTCTCCCCAGCTCAGGCAGCTCTCAGCTGGACGAGCCGGCCGCGTGGGGCAGCCCTCCCTGCGGAGAAAACCGGGTGCCAGTGTCCCGGGCTCTGAGGGAGAGCACGGCACCCTCTGCGACCGTAGGGGCGGGAAGTGCCCTCCCCCGGGAAGGCAAGCAAGGCCTGCAGGGAGGTGTACCTTGGAAATGAGTTCGTCGTGATTGGCCAAGTGGGCTCTGCAGTGAATGCAGCTGTAGGTCCGGTGGCAGGAGGGCAGATACGCCTGGAAAGTCTTGGATCTTGTCATCTTCACCATTGGCGCCGCGGAGCGTGGGGTGAACTCTGGGGTGGCCCACGGGGCACTCCCACAGGACGGGTCGCAGGGGAAACACCGGAAGACACAGGTAAAGGCCGTGGTTTGGCAGGGGGTGGGTGTGGGGCGCGCTCCACACACTGCGACGTCTTCAGAGGAAGGGCCCTCAAGCAGAGGTCTCGGGCTGGTTCTCAGGAGCCTGCAGTGCCAAGACAGGGGGCATCGTTAGAAATGGATCTGGGCTTCCTGCGAGGCAAGCAGAGTCCAGCTGCCACCGAGAGGTACCGTTCATAGGATGAGAGGACCCGCCTTCTGGTTCCTGCACTGTGTCAAGACGGCCCCTGAAGGAGGGAGAGCCCACTGGAGAGCCAGAGCGGCTGCTTCTCCAGAGCTGGAGACAGGGCTTCAGCCGTCTCGGTGCCCTCCACCACCCAGCCCACTGGCATGATCGCCCTGCTAGGGAGCCCTCGGAGAGGCCAGGCTTCAAGATGCGCAACTTCTCGCCCCCGGGAGAGGACGCAGAAGGGCCCCTCTGTGGCTGGAGTAAGGAGAAATCCAGCCTCCACAGAGTCACTACATCAACAGTCACAGGTGGACGTCCCATCCACTTCCACATGCCAGGGCTGCTCCGACCCCCACCCGCAGAGACAATAAGCCCCGCACCACCCTTTGCTGGTGGGCTAAGCATGGGGTACAAAGGATCCAGTTCCCAACCAGCAAGGTCCCCCGTGGCTGGCCAGCTTTTTTGGGAGAAGTGTTTCCCCTTGCTATATCTTGCCTAGAAGTAGATATGCTTAGTACATTTTTTAAAACTCAAGTGAATAAATGAAAACAATGAAATAGAATCCTGTACCTAAAATTCACAATGACAGTGAATTTTACCAGAATTCCTCTTCAACCCTCCAACTCCCCAATGTTCATCCCACAGTACCAAATATCTCTCCCACTAGAGCCTCAGCTCTTTTATTCTGCTAGGACCCAAGAACACTGAGACCGTGGGTGGCTCCCAGGGTACGTCCAAGTGGAGGTCTGAGGGCCCCGCGGTCTCGGACGCACTCTGCCTTCTCAGGCCCCTGCCCACTCCCTGAGCCTCGCCAACAGGGTGGTGTTCCCACCTGCCCACCTCCAAGATGAGCCACATGTTAATTAACACCTGTATCATGCTTTGAAGATAAAATAATTTAGAAAGACGGGAGGAAGACAAACGAAACCAATCTTCCTTGCTGGATTATGTCTGGGATCCAGCTGGGTGTCTAGAGAGAGTGCAAATCCTAGTTCTCCTTTTCCTCCAAACCTCACTGGAGTCCAGTCCTCCCCAGGAAGCTGCCCTCCCCGACACCCCCCAGCAGCACTCACTGAAGGCCCTCTACCCCTGGGGCTCTGCACCCTCCTGAGTGGTCAACGCCACTCACCAGCACTGGGCTGAGGGACAACTACCCCTTGTCCTTCATGTCCCCGTGCACCCCGGAGCCAAGCAGGCTCCACGTCCATGAGCGTCCAACTGTTGAAGGAATTCAGACCGAGAGGGGCCCAGGCACAATGTCTTCCCTGCACAGTCTATGTTTAAAGGTATGAAATCGGGTTAAACTGAACATTATAGAAATACTTGATGAACGTGGAGGTGAGAACCGACTGACCCAGTGGTAGGCGCCTGGCCATAGCAGGACATGAGGCAGGAAGATCCATGGCCCTCGGGTCCAGAGCCCCTTCATCCCACCCTGGGCACACTCTGGAGTGGGCGAAACCAGAGCCCATGGGGGACCAATGCTGTTCGGTGTGGAAATGTCACAGGTGGTACGAGTCAAGTACCCAACTTGGGGTACTGGGTTTCCTGAAATACCCTTGAACTTTCCAATAGTCCGGTCCCACTCTCAGGAAGAACACGCGGAGGAAAGGAAGGGGCGGCAGGGCGGGGTGACGAATAGAGGAGGCAGGGGAGCGAGCAGGAGGCTCGCCCAGGCCACCCGCTTCCGAAGTCCAAGCCTGAGCTGCCCAGCGGGGAGCACGAGGAGCAGGGAGGGCCCTTCAGTCTCAGACACTCGGGGGGACCAAAGGGAACAACGGCTGCCAGCCTGGGTTTATAGAGCAGCCACAGGGTCTGTTTCCTCACACACACAGCTGGCTGCTAACGCCGCATTTCCCCAGACTAGAATGATTTCTTCCCTCACTCCTCCTCTATAGGAAACGCCAAAAAAGCTCAGAGGCAGGGGTTTATGGTTTTGCTCCACTTCAAAACTGAACGCCAAAACTTCTTCAAAGCTACCTTCTGAGCAATAAGCACTTATACAGTCTGTGTTACATGTATGTCCCATGCAAACACATGCCCACGCACACACTCACCGCACACCTCAGCACTGAATGTGAAGAGACAAAAGAGAAAAACCAACCACGTCAGCAACATCCCAGGCTGCTGGTGCTAGGAAAAGCCCTGGAGAGGCCCCGCCAGTGTGGCTGTGGCCTGAGCGTTGTCCCATGCGCCAAGAGGTCACTGGTGCGACTCCTGGTTAGGGCACATGCCCAGGTTCAATCACCAGTAGGGGGCGTGCAGGAGGTAGCCGATCGATGTTTCTCTCTCTCTCTCTCTCTCTCCAAAAACAATAAAAACACATTTAAAAAAAATAAACAAACAAAAACCCCAGAGAGCCCAGCCAGCAGGCATCAGTCTGCTGCACCCAGCCACTGTCTTCTCGCTCTTTCGCAGGAGCGCACAGGCACCCATGGGCTGGCTCCTGCCCAGGGAAAAAGGCACGTGTCCTGCTGAACCGTGAATCTTGTTCAGCTGGCGCAGGGCGAACGAGAGGGGGGAGGGGGATGAGTGAAGAGCAAGGGAGGTGGGATCAAGACAGGGTCTTGGTGCTGAGAAGAAAGGAGAGTGAGAGGAAAGCAGATGGCGGCCAGGGACGGAAAACAATCCCGTTACCACCTTCTTCCCTCTTGGGGGGAAATTTTAAAAGCTTCTTTGAGTCCTGGCCGGTTGCCAAGTGGTTAGAGCATCGGCCCACGGACCAGAGAGACCCAGGTTCGGTTCCCGCTAAGGGCGTGTACCTCGGTTGCAGTTTGTCCCTGGCCCAAGCTGGGGTTGTGTGGGTGGCAACCAGTTGGTGTCTCTCTGTCACATCGATGTTTCTCTCTCTCCCTCCCGCTCTATCTGAAGATAAATGCAAAAATGTCTTCGGGTGAAGATAATAAATGAATGAATAAATAAAAGCTTCTTTGAATCAGTTGGTAGGAAGCAATATAAAACAGTTTTTTCTTTTTAAGGAAGAAACAGAGGGTGTGGCTGCAGAACTCACCCACTGGGTACCTGTTAATAGGGCTACAGGCTCCCAAGTCCAACTGGTCGAACATACTGTGAAATCCAAACTGATTTCCAATAATAATCAAATGAGCTCAATAGTGGAAGCCTCCGGGCACATGTACAAATTAAACCCCATTTCCAGTGGAGTGATAATCCAGCACAGTGGAAATGAACGGGAGATTTGCTACCACCCCCAGCTGGCTCCCGCTGATCAGCATGGCAAGAAAATATGCAAACTATTATGATTAAAAACAAAGACCTTCGATGCACCACTCTGAGAGCCAAATGCACAGGGAGCGCACACCGCAAGGCTGGCCACTGGACAGGCCTGTGCAGCGGAGGCCGCAGCGGCAGCTGGGACTCCGCGTGGCGCCTCTGCGTGTCCCCAGGCTGGAGGGTGAGGGATGAATCCTCAGGCGCGCCATGAAGGACCTCGAGAAGAACGTGGGAAGAAGGCAGTACTAACTCACATGGCCACAGAAACTGAGAGGGTGGAACCACAGGGGAAGTAACACCTCCAACCACAGGACGGACTGTGCTAGGGTGTTGTTCCCGCAGGGTGCTTGGTAGCTGGTAGGTAGACTGCCTGCAAACAAAGTGCGCTCTGGAATCACACACCGGTTCTACCCCTTTCTGGCTGAGTGACTGGGGTAAGTTATTCAACCTCTGATCCTCAGCTCTCCCAGCTGATCAGCACCAACCTCCACAGGGAGCTAGGGTTAAAGGAGATGATGCAAGGGCACGCACGAGTCCTGGCACACGGCCCTGGTAGGCCCGAGCTTCCTTTGCCCCTAAATCCGCCCTCTGCATTTCGGCCAGCACTGACCATGTCACCACTCTCGTCCTTCTGAAAGGCAACACAGGGCAGCAGGGAAGGCAAGTTCTGGAACTAGACGTGGATATTTCGAATCCTGGTTTTATCCTTTACTAGCCGTGTGACCTTGGACAAGTTCCTTACCCTCTCTGGACCTCACTTTCCTCATCAAAAAATGGGGAGTATCTTCCTCATAGGACTCTTGTAAGGGTGCACTAAGTGAATGCATGTCAGGCGGTCAGCTATGCGCCTGCATGCAGTCAGTATACAGTCAGTTCCACGCGTGTATTACTGCTGACACCACCCACCACCGACACCCATAAACGGCTTCAGACTCCTCTCCACCACGTCTTCTATACTCCACTTACTGCAATGTAAGGTCAACCATGCGTCAGGAACTCTAAACGTTCAGATTCGGCATCCAAACCCTCTGTGGTCCCTCCTAATGCACCACATGTGCATGTCCCCCTTGCATGTCCTGGTCACGCTGTTCCCTCAGCCTGACACGCCCTTCCCACACTGTTCCCCAGGCCCTTACCTGTCCCTGAAGACAAGCTCAACTGTCACCTCAGCACTGGACTCACTGGCCCCTTCTCTGTGTGCATCTCTTTTTCTTTATTGATTTTTTTTTTTATCCTCACCAGAGAACATTTTTGCATTTATCTTTAGATAGAGCGGGGGGGGGGGGGGGGGGGGGAGACATCGATGTGAGAGAGACACATCGGCTGGTTGCCACCTGCATGACCCCAACCAGGGTGGGGACAAACTGCAACCGAGGTATGTGCCCTTAGCAGGAACCGAACCCGGGACTTTCTGGTCCGCAGGCAGATGCTCTAATGGCTGAGCCAAACCGGCGAGGGCTTCTTTATTGACTTTAGAGAGAGAGGAAGGGAGAGGGAGAGAGAGAGAGAAACATCGATGAGAGAGAAGATCGACTGGCCGCCTCCTGCATGCCCCGCTCTGGGGATCCGGCCCACAATCATGTGCCCTGACCGGGAATCGAGCAGGCGACCTCTTGGTGCAGGGGCCAATGCTCAACCAGTGAGCCACACCCGCCAGAGTGCACCTCTATCTTAACACTTACCCT